TCACAGATCCTATAACTAACATAACAACTCCAAAGGGTTACGCCATAGACATCTTTGAAGCTGCTCTTAAGAAGTTGCCATATTCAGTCATTCCACAATACTACCGTTTCGAGTCTCCCGATGATCACTACGATGACTTGGTCTACAAGCTCGACAACGGGGTTAGTTCTTTTTTTTTTCTTAAACAAAAATCTAAAAGTTCATGCAATTCCATGTAAAAGCAGTTAGTAATGAGTAGACTAAACTATGTCTATAGATTATGTCTTTATATATATATATATATATATATATATATATATATGTGAGATCTCTAACATATTAGTAAAAATGAAACAGACTTTGGATGCAGTTGTTGGAGATGTAACTATCACAGCGTACAGGTCTTTGTATGCTGACTTCACGTTACCATACACAGAGTCAGGAGTGTCTATGATGGTGCCGGTGAGAGACAATGAGAATAAGAACACATGGGTGTTCCTCAAACCTTGGACCTTAGAATTATGGGTCACCACTGGTTGTTTCTTCGTCCTCATTGGTTTTGTTGTGTGGTTGTTCGAACATAGAGTCAACACAGACTTCCGTGGACCGCCTCACCACCAGATCGGCACTAGTTTTTGGTTCTCTTTCTCCACCATGGTTTTTGCCCACCGTAAGTTCTTACACCAATAATGATAAATGTTAAAACAATTCTTGGTTTTGATTTCAAAACCAATTTTCTGTAAATGAGACTATTGTTACGTAGTTTAGATATTAAATGTCAACTTATTGTCAATGTGATAATTTTTTTATTTAACAAGAATCAAGATTCTAATGATGAAGTAATTTGTGCGTGTGTATATAGGTGAGAAGGTAGTGAGCAACTTAGCAAGGTTTGTGGTGGTTGTGTGGTGCTTTGTGGTGCTTGTGCTCACTCAGAGCTACACAGCAAATCTCGGGCTCTATCTGGCGTGATAAGCATACTTCTCATGGGGAAATAGACCGTTTTTCCAAAAAATGGGGACTATGTAGGCTACCAACACGGGGCTTTCGTTAAAGATATTCTAAGAAATGAGGGATTTAATGATTCTCAGCTCAAGCCTTTTGGTTCTTCCGAAGAATGCGACGCACTTTTGTCCAATGGCAGTATTTCAGTAGCTTTCGACGAAATTGCCTACCTTAAGGCTATCCTTTCTCAATACTGCTCCAAATATGCCATGGTTGAACCTACATTTAAGACTGCTGGTTTTGGCTTTGTAAGTTTCTTCTTTTTCTTATCAAAATTATAAAATAGAGAGAAAAAAACACAGTTCGAGTATTCCGGTGTTTTCATTGCTTGTTTCCTTGATCAATGTGTAGGCATTCCCCAAGAATTCTCCTTTGACAGGAGATGTCTCAAGGGCTATCTTAAATGTGACTCAAGGAGATGAAATGCGACACATCGAGAACAAATGGTTCATGAGACAGAAAGATTGTCCTGATCCAAAGACCGCTCTTTCGTCTAACCGTTTAAGCCTTAGCAGCTTTTCGGGTCTGTTTCTAATAGCAGGCATTGCTTCATTCTTGGCAGTACTCATCTTCGTTTCCCTTTTCTTGTACGAAAATAGGCATACACTATGTGAGGATTCCGAAGATTCGATATGGGGTAAGCTAACGTCTTTATTCAGAAACTTCGATGAGAAAGACATAAAGTCGCATACTTTCAAGACCAGCGCTGTTCATAATGTGAGTTCACCTATGACTCACTACACTCCGAGCCCTTCAACTGTGCAAAGCCAACCATGGCGACATAGCCCGTCACAAAACAGGGGGTTTGAACTAACAAGAGTGTCTTTTACCCCGAATGAAGAACGCTTAACTACGGAAACTATACATCATGAAGATGAAGAATCTGATATTGAATGTGGAGTTGAACAATAGAGATAAATTAGAAGATTCCATAACAAGTTGGATATAGGATTAGCTAGGTTCGCTGTATATTTTCCCATCAAAGTTAGTATTCTTTTATTTATAACAAAGTTTATATTTATAACATCGCATGGCAAATATATAGCAACGCTAAGAGCATCTCTAATGGTGAGAGCTCTTCATAGGTTCTCTCCAATTATTTAATATAAATTTTGAGAGAACCAACTCTCTTTGGGTTCTCAAATCTCTCTTTAGAGAACCAACTCTTCCCATAATTCAACTTTTTGATTTAATTTTAATCATTTTTCACAAGAAAAACTCACAAGAGAGCTCCCATTGGAGCTGCTCTACATAGTGGCAAGTGACTTTAAGGAAAGTTCCTAGATCCAAATAAACGAGGATATCCATTCACATGATCGCATGATTCGCATCCATTCCCAACCATGGTCGCGAAAGAGGGCTCTGGTCATTCATGATCCATCCACCATGCGTGATTCTTACATCTCGGCCAAAAGATCCAATAATTTACTATATCATTATTTACAAATGCTCATAGCTCTACCTACAATATCACAATCTCAAGGAAGAAGAAGCGTAACATAGGAAGAAAGACAAAGTTACACATAGCTATGTAAAAGCAAACACTGCTTTTGATGAAGTGGTTGTCCTTTAGCAAACCCTCTCTGCGAATCGGAGACTTTTTTAGCCTTATAATCCAAGCTAAACAAATCAACGTCCTCCTATTATCGGACCAAATGCATTTCAGTTGAATCAAGAATCAATTACCGGATTGGGCTTTTTTCCCAGAAAAATT